TGAAAATGGCATATTAACAATGTTAATGTTCCTTTAAAAGTTATTCAGCAGTTCTTGGAGAGTGTTTGGGATATAATATGTCACATGTAACCCTTCTGGATGATATCCAAAAATTTTGAAGCAGAAACATTGTTTCAGTGACAAGTTATAGGCGGCAATCACTTTTTGGCAGGTTGAAAATGGCATATTATGGGTATTAATGATCCTTTAAAGGTTATTCAGCATTTCTTAGAGACTGTTTGGGATATGATGTGCCACATATCATCCTTTTGGATGATACCCAACAATTTTGAAGCAGAAATATTGTTTCAGTGACAAGATATAGGCCACAATCACTTTTTGGCAGGTTGAAAATGGCATATTGTCAGTTTTATTGTTCCCTTAATGGAAATTTAGCAGTTCTGAGGGATTGTTTGAGATGTAATATTTGACATATGACCCATCTGGATGACATCCAACAACTTTGAAGCAGAAATAGTATCTCAGTGACAAGTTATAGGCAGCAATCACTTTTTGGCAGGTCGAAAATTGCATATTATGGGTATTAATGTTCCTGTAAAAGTTATTCAACAGTCCTTAGAGACTGTTTGAGATATAATGTGTCACATGTAACCCTTTTGGATGATACCCAACAAGTCTGATGCAGAAATAGTATTTCATTAACAAGATATAGGCCACAATCACTTTTTGGCAGGCTGAAAATGGCATATTATCAATGTTAATGTTCCTTTACAGGTTATCCAGCAGTTCTAAGGGACTGTTTGAGATGTAATATTTGACATATGACCCTTCTGAATGACATCCGCCAAGTTTGAAGCAGAAATATCAGTGACGAGTTATAGGCAGCAATCACTTTTTGGTAGCGCTAAAATGCCATGTTCTCAGTCGTTATTCTGAACAAACAAGAAAGAGTCATGGTGATACTGGCACAATAGGTCTTTATTGTTTTAACTACTATTCGACAGTCTTATAACAAATATGAACAACGAGAGTAGACATACTAAACCTGTAGGCATTAATTATTCCATCCTGATGCGTGTAGTCATTCGTGACTGCGCTACACACTGAAAGCAACGTTCTGAAAAGCGTCATAATTCAGTTACAAGAAACGTTGAAGTTCCATAAATGCATACCTTTGCCTAATAACAAAGGCATAAATGTGTTTGTTTGCCCCCCCGCCCGTTATATCAGTTGCACAGAAGTAGCTGGCAACGCAAGTAATCCGGGCGCTGCAGCTTTAAGCAGCTGCGCGCGCTCCCGCAGACGGCAATCAGTTTCTGGCACAACACCGGCACACTTTTGCACCGGAGGTTTTCGGAAAGCTTTTATTTTGGTATTTCCGCTGATCCGTGCAATAAATTTGCATGTTAGCCTAAACATTTCGATTTAACGTTTAGATTTAGATTTAAATATAATATTTAGATTTAACATTTAAAATTCTGTTTTAATTATGAGAAGTTACAAATATTTTACTAAATGTTGTAAAAAAGGACTTGTTTTGAGCTAAATGTGGAAAAATGTTGCCGTTAATTTCAGCATGTTTCACTTTACAAACGGCGCCCCATAGTTGAGGTGCTGCTGGAGTGGGTGCAGTATGACTCCCTTCAAACCCTCTGAGGTCCCGGGTAAAATCGGCTGTTTTTGACTACTTCTGATTTTGCATTTCACCTTTAAAAGCGGTTTCCTCGCCTTGTTTAGTGTCATTCTTTGAGCACAACGTCACAGGTCTGAGTTTACTGTTATTTTTTCATTTTAACTGTATTAAGAAAATTGAAAACAAAACAACATTTTAACAGCACAAATTTTGCAAACAGCAAAGTTACAACTCCTTACCTAAAAATGGAGGCAATATATTTTTTTTTTCTTTATCATAATTCTGGTTTAGGGGCGTAAGGGTTAGTTAGTCTACACATGCTGACATGGAGACTCAGTGTGGCAGCATTTTGTTGCTGTGGCATCTTTAATCGGTCATGTGAGTTTGAGTGGTAAAGCTGGACTCAACATATATGAGACCAGAAGCAAGAATTGCTAAACTCATAACATATGTTTCAAAACCAAACGATATAAAGCTGCTAAAACACATAAAAACGATGACTTCATGTCCAGAAACAAATCTGGCACTTGTGTGTAATACCAGTTTATTCCACAAGATGGTGCAGCGAGTCAACGAGCCTCTCATTCTTACTGTCAGCGACACGTCTGGAGGAGAATTTTAAAAAGAAGCTGGTGGAAGTTAAACTTAGTATTGTTGCACCTTCAGATGCTCAGCTGATATCTGAGTCTTTTCATGTCCTGCAGCCTGAACGAGCACACAGCGAGGCTTCTGCTGAATGCTTCTGCCCTGTTCCCCCTGTAATGGCCTGAGGAGCCACGAGGTGGCTGCATTCTTAAATGTTTGATGGAGAAGACGCAGGAGGCGGGTCCACAGGGGGAGGAGAGTGAGGCTGAGGAGGAGGCGCAGATGCAGAAGCGGGCAGAGAACATGGACAGGGAGCTGGCCACGCTCTTCCATCTGATGAGGAAAGTTTCCACACAGTGTGCAGAGAGTAGGCCTCCCTCACCTCCTTCCTCCTCTCAGCCCCGGCTCTGCCTCCATCCCGGCCTCCTCTCCCTCCCCCCCTGCTCGCAGGCAGAGGGATGAGTGTTTCCTGCCAGCCTGCAGACAGATGTGGACGCTGCTGCTGCTCTCACCGCCGCAGGAAGCAGGACGATCAGGCCAGAGCTCCGTGCCACCCGAACCCGCTGTGAGCCGCACATGTGAGTGCACACACACACACACACACACACACACACACACACACACACACACACACACACACACACACACACACACACTGATGTCTGTGAATGAGTGTGTGATTGGAGCTGCGATGGTGGTTCCAGAGGATCGGTCAGGTCAGTAATGAGAAGCAGACGCTGCTGAGATCACAGAAAAACCAGCAGAAAGCTGAGTCATCATCCGTCTGTCCTGATGGCCGCTCACAGCTAAACCCACAGACTCACCGCATGTTCTGACCTCGTCGGGTCATCGCGTCCAGGAGCTTCAGCATCAAAGTAAACCCTGAGCTCACTGGCTTCATTTGAACTCTGAATTCATTTCTTCCATCTTTTAACAATCAGGAGCTCCTGCAGCAGCCAGAGGGCTGATCCTCTGACGGTAACGTGTTCTGAAGCCAGCGCAGTTTCACGCTCCGCGCTTGAGTCGGTGGACAGCCCACATTTTACTGACTTTTTACGTGTGCGCTGTTAGAGCCTGGCCAGGAGAGCGGCTCAGAGATTCACTGCTGTGAATGTCCAGCCTCTATATGTTCTCATTTTAAAGCTTCAGCACACTTTGAAGAGGATCTGAGACCTTCAGGTTCCACAGACAGAGAAACACTTCTTCACACAGATGCAGCGGATATCTTCATTTTCCAAGGAAGTCTCTCACAAGTGGATACAAGAACTCTTAATGATAAAAATCTATTAGTCATTTAAAGTAACTTGAAGATGGAAAGATTGTAGAGGTTTCTTTGAGGTAAAGTCCATATATGCACTCTTCTTAAATAATCTCACTGTCAGATCGGATGTTTGACCCTGGAGAGGTCGTCTGGATGGATAGATGGATGGTGCCCAGGTATAAGAGTCTGGATTAGTTTCACAGCCTGCCGTCTACTTAAAAATAAAGAGACCACAGTCTCAATGTGGGGAAAAGTATGGGGCAGGGGGCGTCTGCAGCAGCACAGATTTAAACCTCCAGTGAACGGCTGATGGAGGTCAGTGACCCGTAAACACGCTCCACACACAGGAAGCTCTTCATCAGCACTGAAACAACACTTGTAACCACGAAGAAGGGAGACGCTGAGAGCCTCACAGCTTCAGTCATTTCTCTTTACTCAGCTGGTCTTAGAGATGGAAGTGCAGATTAACCCGATACGCCTCAGGCTGCTCGACAATTTCCCCCAAATTTCCCCTCAAACATCTGCTTATATTGGTATGAGAGAAAAATCATTCTGCTGCTGGATGTAAGCTTTCTGGGTCTACGTCTGGATCTCTGAGCCTTTCTAAACACATGCAGCCCCAACGCTTCCAAACTAGAGATGCACCGCTCGTGCATTCAGACTTTTCTCTAGCAATGACCTGCTGACGCCGATATTCTTTCCAAGAACTTTATTTTCATAATGAAAGAAATGCTTAAACTTTATGATTTCCCCCAAACTCCAGTCAGTTCCAGGATCTGCTCTCAACAGCTGACTGCTTTCATCCTTTCATTGCTCATACCGAGGCTCTGGACAGCTGTAGCCTTGTTTCCTTTGTTATCTAATCTAAAATATCCCTGTTCAGTTGGGTGACAGAGTGTCAGTGTCTCATTAGGTTTGTTGTTACAAACATTGTGGTTTAATTAGGTCCCACTGACAGGAGAGTGACGAGGCTAAAGACATGTTAGCATGTGCACCGCTCTGCATGTTACACTTGCATGAAACGGACGACTCGCACTCGGACATATGGGAGGCTGACCAACCGAGAACACTGGAAACCAGCAGATTATTATTCATGGATGATTACCCGGGCTTTTCTTTGGCCTCTCCTCGTTCGCCTCCCCGCACATTGAGATTACAGATTCTGATTTTTGGAGTTTTTTGATTTGAATATTTTAGCCCGTACTTGTTTTTAGTGTTTTTTCGTCTAATTGTCTGATGTCTTCTTTAGTGTGGGTTTTTCACACCTGAGCTGGTTACTCAGGTCGGACGAGATCTCCGCTCAGTTCCAAGCAATCGCCAAAGTGCTTCATTTGTGGTGTGTGGCGTACACAGAGGGTACCTGTGTTTACCTTTGTCGCTCCTGCCTCAAACACACCTGGCCAATAAGCAGACTGGACGTTCCCACCTGGTTCATAGTGACGCATTGCGTTTCACTCTGTGTGAGCAGACACCAAAGCTCCGACTGATTCAGACCACAGCAGGCAAAAAGCCTGATCATTAGCTTCCTGCGTTCCTTTGAAGGCTGATCATCTTTTATTGTTCTCCTGATTCTCTTCATCCTCGCCTACATCGATCGACCTTGTAAACTTTACTTGGACCTTGATAATAACAATGAATGACTTTCTCTTCTTATGCTTTGGGATTTGTTACCATAACATATGTAATCATCACAGCACAGCCTCCATAACTGTGATGGTAGGAAGATAGAATAAAAGTGCTGGGCTCATATAATCGATGTTTACAGCAGGTAAACTGTGTTTTAAGGTGTTCAATCATCATCAAAGCCAAAACGTGGCTCTCGCTGTCAGACATGTCTGGGCTTGTCTTGTTGTGCTGTGGGGAACACAGTTTTTTAACCAAATTTAAGTGTCTGATGGATGATGGTGTGGCTGTGAGCTGTTTTAAAGACGGTTACCATGAAGACGCCACAATAAAGGCCTGAGCTTGGTGGTTAAAAGAGCACATGATGCAGCCCACTGGGTCACAAGAACACGGTGAACCGCTCGGGAATAAACCAATAAATCATGTTAGATGATCGGTTTTACGTTCAGTGTTCAGAGCTGTGAGTCTTTCAGCTCTGCCTGTGAAGCTGCAGCTGCTCAGAGGGAGATGGAGGAAGAAACGAGCTGTAGCTGGAAGAAGGAGAAAGGAAGGGCGGATTAGGGTGGGTGCCTGTGGCGGAGCATGATGTCAGAGGAATGTGCTGAGCCTCTCCTTTAACGAGCAGCGGCCACCTCGCACTCATACGCTTCAACCCCGTCCAGCTCGTTTCGCTGTCGCTTTTCTGTCCTCGGGTCAGCCGCCGCTCGCCTATTGTGGTCCGAGCAGCCCGTTTGTATTTGTCGCACACATGTGACAGATATTTACTGAACAAAGATGCTTTAAAAGAGCACAAATATGACACGCAATCACATGAGAGGAAGAAGAGTGTGGTGTCAGAGTGTGGAATGTGTTTTCAGTGGTCGATTTCCAGCATCCGGCCCTGCAGCTGCAGCTCGTTGCAGGATTACAGATGGAGATGGAGGAAAGGGAGTGGAGAGAGCGAGGGAACACACACAGAAAGTGACTGGTATCATGAGCGGGAGGGCCAGATGCTGGGAACAGCTGGAAAGACTATGACTAATATTAGCAGTGAGGTAAGACGGTGGAGGATGGAGGGGACGGAGGGCAGCTGCTACTGTAAACCAGCCACGCTGAAGTCACGTTTATTTATAGCCACACAGTCATCTCACCAGAATCTTTCATGGTCGACGGCTCGATTTACTCTACAGACTGTATATAAAAGATGGAGGTGGCCACCGTGACCTCCTAGAATCCAAAGTTTGACAAATCAACACCTGCCACCTTGTTACCTGCTAATTAACATCCAAATTAAACACTTGAGTTTAATTAGTGCATTCAACTGGAAAAAAGAGCAGACGCCAGCCAACGCTGCAGTTCCTCTAACGTCCAGCAGAGGCTCCAGCAGGGAGGCAGTCCCCCAGACTCCCATGTTAGAAGATCCAACTTTACAGCAGAAACAAACATGAGCCTGAGGCCTTAATCAGGGGCGTGGCCTCTGCCAGGTGGATGGTGACACAGCTGGCTGTAGCTGCTAGCTGTCTGCTAGCTTCACATGAACCTGACCTCTGCACCGTGTTCGTGCTGTTGGATCATTTTTAATGGCATCATGTGACCAATAATATGGCTGCTGTGAGGTCACTGTACCAACTGCCCAGGAAGCCTGAGTGATTATGAAGCGTTGTGAACAGGTGTGTGTGTGTGTGTGTGTGTGTGTGTGTGTGTGTGTG